AAAAAAAAAAAAAAAAAAAAAAAAAAAAAGTGTCCTCATTTCCATTTGTAACGTATTTTCTCTTTTGCTGTCCTGGCACCTCACCTTTATTCCTTTTTTCAGACTTGGTTCCATTTTTTAATAGATACCCTCCTTAGCAGCATCAATTTTTATTTAAGAAGACTCATAAGAAAAGAACAGAATGAAAGATGCTGAAGCTTTTAATACACTTGAAAAATACACTTGTTTGACTCCATGAGGTCTGGAAATATTTTTCATTTACTCTTTCATCTAATAAATGGAATGCCTATTACATACTTAGTGTACAAGGTGCTGGAGATACAATATAGACACGGTCCCTGACTACAAGGAGTTAACAGTCTAATGGGGAGAAAGACAAGTTACGGGCAATTATACTAGTAACATAAGTATATACACCCAGTTTAGTTTCATCAGAATTCTAGATTTTAGTATTTTCAAACCTTAACCCTTTTGAGGAAATAACTACATTTAAAAACATCAAAAAGCCCCAAACATCAATTCTCATATGAAAAGTCTTACATAACTTTCCTAGATCAATATATACAGTCTTTCCTGGGATTCTACAAGCAAGAATCTTCACAAGTATGCCTTTCAGCTACCTTTCTGATGTTCTACTTTCAACAGTATTTGGTTAGTAAAAATGCAAAACATTCTCAATTACCTGAGGAGTGGTAGGTTCCAGATCCTTAATTAAGTTATAAGCTTCTTGTACATCATCTGAAATGTAAGAANGGTAGGTTCCAGATCCTTAATTAAGTTATAAGCTTCTTGTACATCATCTGAAATGTAAGAATTAAGTAGTTGCATGAATCTGTATTCCAGCAAACCCTTCTGAAGCAGTCCCAGAAAAGATAAGATCCTTCAGTACTCAAACATTAATGGGAAATATGATCTGTTTTTTCTGTCCTATAACTTTCCATTAAGTTCAATGTTCGGTAGTTATCCTAACTATATTCAAATAACCTGAGAAAACATATCAAGCTATGAAGCACCTAAAATTTTCTTCAAACTAAGAATGTAGACTGGGTGTTGAATGCCAATGGCATTGTATTTAGATAAGAAAAATAATATTTTTTTTTTAAATGGTTAAGTATACAGGAGTGAAACAACATGATGTCTGAGATTTACTTTAAAACATTTCGAGAGCAAAAAAGGGGGTAATTGATGAAAAAAGATTGGAAACATCTTGAAAACAACAGTACATTCAGAATCTGGGGTGAGTATTTGCATGTTCACTGTACTTTTACTTTTGTTTATGTTTGAAATTTTTCATAACAAAATTAATTTATAAAGTATATATGCAGTTTCTTTAATTCTTATCCAAAAGCATATTTTTCTTTGCTTATATATCAAATAGAAAGAACTGCTTGCAAGTTCATGTTCTTATTTTAATAAACACTTAACATTTTCCTCAGTGAGGAATATGTTGTATGGTTGGATTCTACCATGCAACTAAAAAGTTCCACACTATTAGACATGGACAGAGGGCCATGACAGAGGGCCACCACCAATGCATGGCTACTACCCTGTGCTCGTAACTGTTAGAAAAGACTGTTTTAGGCATGTGTCTAACGATTTTAATCTTACTTAGAAGCAACATATATCACATTCTCTTAGAATCATAGCATTTCTCATAAGAAGCCTGGGATACAAAGAAACAGAAAGACAATCAGAGAAACTAAAAAGTTAAGGACTTTTTAAAAAGACACAAGAAAATGTGGATGTACATTATGTATA